GAATAAAATTGCAACGCCACGCTGCGCATCATCATAGAACATGTCCACATGGAATGGACAATACTTGAATTTCCATAGCTGGTTGACTCTTAGCAGAAAAGGGAATGTGATCCATTCTTTATGTTCAAGAATCAGAATAGTCTGCACAAGTGTTACTATCGACGATGAATTGGACAAACTACGGAAGATTCTCACACAAGATGGATATCTATTCAGATTTATTGAGAAGAATTTGAAGTTAAGACAGAATACAGAGCAAGTACTCACAGTTCCAAAGAAGACGTTGTTTATGAACGTTGATTTCAAAGGTGATACTGCAGTAGAGATCCTGAAGAATCAGCTATCCAGATCACTGAAGAAAACATTTTTCTCTGCGAAGCTACAGATTGGCTTCTTTAGTCAGCAAATGGTTCCAGAGTGCGTTAAGAACAATTTGTCACCTTGGGCCACCTCAATGTGTGTCTACAAATTCACTTCCTCCTGTGGAGCTAGTTATACAGACAGCACAATACGCACACTTTCTTATGTATCTCTGAGCTCTATTCCGCTCGGTTGTCGAAGGAAGAATGTAAATCAATTAGCAGCTCAATGACTGTACATTTGGTCAACACTAGACATATACCTCGACCAGAGTCCTCCTTCACTGCCATTTATAGAGTCAAATGGAATGGTCCAAAAGGAGTACACCTTCAACAGTTGTGCACTGAGAACCATTGGTAATTCATCAAATCAAGCCTAATCTGTAAGCGCGAAAGAAGTATGTTCAATCTCTTATCTTACCATAAATAGTCTTAACACAGAATTTCTCCTCAATTTCATTATCATTAACTGGTTTATTATTAACACCTTCATGATGACCCTTGTCTCATTCTTCACCTTCTACACATCTATCTATCTTCTGTCAAGTGGACACCAAATCTCAACATTTCACACCTAACAGTAGTAGTCGCCTTGTCAAACTCCTTGCCTTCCTCGTTATTTCTACTGTCTAGAAGATTACTACGCAACTACTTTCCATTCCTGATTTCGCTTTTTACCACTAGCCTAATGATGTAACTATACCATACTGGTCAATGATAGACTGTTATATGTTTATGTGATATATACATGAATACAATTGTACAGTTCTAAAAAGTGACGTCGGAAGAGAAAAACTTGTTCGCTGAATTATCTCTTTCTTTCAGTATGACTCGATGCGAATGTTTCGTCGTCCAACGGCATAGATTCAGTCTATTTCACGTTGTCATCTACCATTGAGAAAGCCATAAGAAAACAATATGGGTGTTCTGCTAGGCTTTTAAAAGTTGGATAATATACAATGGTTTAAATTCCTTTGCATTCCCAGCCTCTGAAATGTAAGAGATTCGAACTGCCGCTGTCGATTTGCTATTATGATAGATTATTATTATTTGGGTTCTTAGTGGGACATACCGCTTCAGTAGCACGCCTCCATTTCACTCTCTTCTCTCCATTCTTTTCAACCTGGCGCCATGACTGCCCACAAGCTCTCATTTCTTCTTCACACGATTTCCTCCACGTCACCTTCAACTCAGACGCTCAACTGGTCGTTTCCCCTTTGGATTCCACTCGACGACCTGGCCTGGTGCATGATGTCTCGGAATGCTCTTCTCAGTGTATGCCCAATCCATCTCCGCTTCGTTCTGCATACTTGTTGGGTGGTAGGTTCTTGGTTGTTTCGTTGTCAGTCAGCCAGAGTTCTTTGTTGCTTATTGTTATTATTCTGGTCATCTCATCTTCTGTATCAAACGAGCGTAGGCGCATCTGTTGATGATGTATGTCTGTAGTTTGTTGGAAATGCTTTTCGTGACGTGCCGCCAAGTTTCTAAACCATATGGCAGTACTGACTTGACTGATGTTGGTGTTGAAAATCTGGATCTTGTTCTTTGTACTTAGTGCAGTAGATCTCCACTTTGAAACGATGTTGCCTAGGTAGGTAAAAGAGACAACTTCTTTAAGGTTTTTCCCATTGGTGGTGACTGCCTTCAGTCACATGGTTAACTTCTCAGCACATATGAAGAGATAGGACTAACTATTTGAGAGTGAAAATAGAAGTATGATGTTTAAATGAATATAAGAAAACCCGCAAATTTGCCTAGCTAAATGTTCCAAGAGGTGTAAGATTATGCCGGTTAACCTTGAGACTTTGGCACTGCATACATGCATGAGTTCACTTTCAAACAATTCGACTGATATCTGTCTGTTAGTAGTGTAAGAGATGCATACAGATAGTGATAATTATAACATATAGTAAAGAGCTATACAGTCCAACGTTATGGTAGAAGAATTTTCAACATTACATCATAATTGGCAACACAGAGCTATAGAGAAATCAGGTACAATCACTTTATTTGTTGCTGGCCCAAGAATGTAAAACAGAACGATAATCTGATATTTAGAAGAGATGATAGGCAAGTAGTTTCCTTGTAATGTCAATCACCATTACATGATGACTTAGACGTTTCAAAACTGCCTTGTAACAACAGTGTAAAATTGAATACAATTTTCAGTCTTGACATCATATCACTTACTTATGGTACCAGCAAACTTCAGCTTGTGATTTACGTGATTTTGATCTATGGTGACAATCTTGAAAAGCAGATATAGAAACAATAAAAAATCGATGTTGCTTAATCTTCCTTTCGGATGTTGCAGAGTTCTTTACACAGTTTAGTAAGACGAGTAAAAGTCTCGAAATTTGTATAATCACCAAGTGTATTTACCTTCGTTATAGAGTAAACATATCTCAACCAAGTTGACCCATTTTCAGCCATATCACTAAAAGTCTTTTCGCCCTGTGGACTCCATCCAGGCTGTCCACATCTCTCCACACAGCTCACCAATAGTCAGAAACTTCATAGATTGTAGCCAGGTCTTGATCTAGCCACTGTTAACCTCTTCCAACTTTATTCAGCTTTCCTCTAGGTGGTTGCTTGGTATACTCAGAGCATATCTAAGCCACTTCAGTCAATGATGGTTCACAACCATATCAATTGACTGACCTACTCTACCCTGTCCGGTACTCTTCAACATTGCTCACATTATAATTTCACCATATATGAGCAATTCTACGAGGACACCTATGATCACACTACTTTCGGCATCTGATTTTTACAGTCTTACTGAAAGAAACAAGAAGACAGGTACGATAGGAGGAATAATAACTGTCAGCAAGTGGGACAATAGTCGTTAAATATGGTACATCATGCACTAGAACAGTCATTCGCAAAATGTGCTTCAATTCCTCTTCATACACCTGCCTTGTCTCTTACGTTTCTCTTGGGGGAATTCTTACCCATTGCTGGTAATTGCCTACGATTTCTACCACCCTCTCAACATATACTACTTATATCCATTCTTGTTAGCAACGCCTGTTACACTATCACCTCATACGCTTCGTTTTTATTGGTAGCAAAAATTTGATGAATAAAGATTTAGTAATGAATCTCTCCATCTCTCTACCTAAGTATATTGGACTTAAGTACAGTGGTTTTATCCCACCCCCAACATGTGATTATGTGTGTTAATGCATGCATTGTAATAGCTGAGTCCTCTTTTCTAACTGACCCCAACCTAGTAGTTTGACCCATGTACTTGACCTCACAATTATTACATAGAATTTCATAGGTTACATTATTTTACCTAATTGGATCTATGGGAACCATAAGGCAGCTGATGAAGCTTATCTCTGAGTGAGTTTGTAAGTTTAAATCCCATTTTGATCCCATTGTGATCGCCAGTATCCCATATCTTAGCAGGTATATTTATGAATAGTTGGCAAGACATACCTTTACAAACGTATAATTCTGTACCTGAGATATTTATTGTGTTGTAATCGGAACATATCGACTCAGTAGAAGATACAGTTCAATTCACTCACGAAGAAGTAGAAAATGAACAGGCATTACCTATGTTAGATTGCAGATGTGGTGTTTAATCGATCTGAGAAATCCAGCATCGACCAGATTTATTGATTAAGAAAATTTGGTTGATGAAAACCGTTAGTAATTTAGTTTTTAAAGCATAAATTCATATGAAACTGATTTATCCATAAGTAACAATGAAATTCAGTGAAAAAGGATAGAAGTTTTGAATAAGTTTTGATCTTTAATACTTTCTTTTCAGTGTATACTCCCCTGTAGGAAGAGAACAGTTGGCTTATTATTCTATGATACTAATAAACCAGAAAGAAAGTTAACAAGTCCACTGTCATTATTATTCGTGAAATACTTTTTCTAATTTCCTATTATATTTCACCAAAAATTCCTTTCCTCTTCTCTTTTCTCTCATCTCTACATTGTGTCGTCAATTGCTTTATAGACAGACAGTCTATCATCTGAGTCAATAATATATGCTGAAATATTTCAGTCTATCATTCAAATATTAATGCATACAAACAATATAATGGTTAATATAATAAGCGAATAGTTAAGGGATATTTTGACCTTGATTCCAGTTCAAGGTCAACCTCACTCACATTGGTCTACACATACATCACGCCTACGCTTAGAATTTGGCAGATTTTTTGATTGCACAAAATATTGATCAATGTGTACGGATGTTAGTTATTAGGCTGAAATATTCATTGAATATAGTCAGCTAGGCACACACACACACACATACACCTACAATGGGTAAATGTTTCACTGTTATTGGACATTGAATAGGAGAAGAAAAAACACCAAATAAGTATGTGTGTTCGTGTCTACATGTAAGCTTATGCACAGCTACTTATTATCCTATCCAAGTAGATTTGAAGGAAATAAATGATGAACTTCCATTGAATAAACTAATTTTGTTGGTCAATTCAGGATATATGAGAGAAAAAAACGTCTATAGACGCAGTAGTAGTCACCTTACTGTATTATTCAAAATACCGCTCTAGAAAACTTTCAATGTTTCAAAGTGGTTTTACTCATTTTGACCTTGAACAACTTATCAATAAATTATAAGATAATAGAAATCAATAAATCTCTACTCAAATGGGTGCTGTTCATTCAAGTAAAGGGATTACTAAATCTGAATTGAAGAGACTCTCAGCTAAAACACATTTCACTGAGGCACAAATAAAGAAGTGGTATAAAGGATTCATTGTAAGTGTTTCTTTCCTACCATTTTACATATAAACATTTTGTGTTTCCTGATTTCTTCATTTTTTTTTTGTACAGTAACGATTTTTATTGGTTTGTTTACCTCTAATAAATGGTTGACTGGAGAACCAACTGTTTCGCTTTGTTCTCGGACTTCTCGGCAGTGCACATTGCTGGTTCCATCCATAGCTGATTTAAACGTGGAACCTTGACACTTCGTGAATTTATATTCATTATTATTATTTGTCCCTTGGGTTCCTAGTGGAATATACGGCTTCAGTAGAATGCCTCTATTCCACTCTGTTCCCTGCAGTCTTTTGAATCTCTCGCCACGACTATCCTCAAGCTTTCATTTCTTCCTTACACGATCTCCTCCATGTCACTCTCGGCTCAGACGACTAGTTCATCGTTTCCCCTTTGGATTCTACTTGACGGCCTGGCCTGTCGCATGATGTCCCCGAATTGCCTTCTCAGTGTATGCCCAATCAGATCAAATCCATCTCCACTCTCTTCTGCATACAGGTTGGGTGATAGTTTGTTGGTTAGTTCGTTGCCAGCCACACTGAGTTCATTGTTGCTTACTCTTATTATTCTCATCATCTGATCTTCAGTATCGAGTAGGCGCAGGTGGCAGCTGTCGATGATGTATGTCTTTAGTTTATTGGAAATGCTTTACGTCACGCACCAAGTCTGTCAACCATCACATAGAAGCACTGACTCACTTGACTGACATTAGTGTTGGAAATGCGGATGTTGTTCACGCTTTACGTTGAGTGGAGTGGAGTGCAGAAGATCTCCACACTGATTATTTCGGATTAATGAAGTAAGGTCTCTCTTGCTGTCTTTCCTATCGTGGCTTTGACATCGTCATCTGTGCTGCCGCCGCCTGTAGTTGAGACGATGCTGTCTAGGTAGGTAGGTAGGTGTAAGAGACAACTGCCTTCAGATTTCTCCCGTTGATGGTGATTGATGTTTGTTGTTGTTGTTGGTGGTGGTTAGGTATGTTCATCACCTCTGTCTTCTCCATGTCCACCTGAAGGAAGTCCCGTCTTCCTTCGATGACTCGCCTCGCCTCTTCTGCCAACTTGTTAGTTTTCGCCTGTACACCTTCGCGTTTGTGCGACATGAGACATCAGATACGAATCATCATCGACGAAATCCAAATCTTCTGGGTGGTTTTCATCGGTCAAACATCGTCTGCCTATCTTCTCACAGCTCCTCACTGTTGTCTGTTGCAATCCAGTCCGGTCCAGTTGACCACAATCAGGAAGATCATCGGTGAAAGTAGGCGGCAGCCTTGTCTTACTCCTTCCTGCCTTCACTTCAAAGGCATTACAGATCTTTCCATTATGAATCAATTGGCATGTAGCATCATATAGCATAGCATATAGCTGCTGTTGAATGAGGTTGATAAACGTTTGTGACACTAAGACAGTAGTGTTGAAGCAGCTGCAAATTACTTCTCAGTCGACGCCTCGATCGTAGGCCGTTTCAAAGTCGATGAAATTGAGTTAAAGAGTTAACTTCATGAATAGTTTTACTAAATCTTATCATGAAATGACAGAAGTAAGAAGTGATGATCATTGGGTTCCTACCCGGTGGTTCAATGGCAACCTATTGGCCATGGAAGCAGAAGGTCCTGGGTTCGATCTCTGGAGGTGTCATGAGTTGGCACTGCTGAGGAGTCCCACACTACGACGAAACATCTGTCCAGTACTTCCAGGTATTTAGTGTTACTCCAGCTGATATGAGTCTGTTATGATTACCAACCTGTAACCAATGAATAGATCCCTACAAATCTCCAGATTGAATAAATCTTAATTACTTGACCAAAAAATTTTTCCTCTCTGTCATTTGAGATACCATAAATCTAATACAGTACGGTACAATGGTATGCACCATAATCTATGCATAGAATCGACTCTTAATTGTCTTGTTCCTCAGGTAATCGGTAAGTGCTACCATAACTTTATCTTATTGTATTTGTCTGATTCACGTGATTTTACTTATTCAGTCTAAACGTTGACCTTGAATGTGATTGGTCTCATGTCAAATTGTGTATACTCAATTCACATACAGGATGAGTCATGCTATTCTAACCGCATTTTCAACCGTTTACAACAGAATACAAAGTCTGATGCTTACCTATTCATCAGGAGGATTATTCAGCTTGTATGAAAGTTTACAGTTCCAGCTAAGTATTTGTATTATGGTTATATGATGTATTGGGTGGATGCGTGAAGGAGATGGTGAGAGATGGAGTGAGCAAATGATTCAGGGAATAAGGTGGATTGAAGTGAGTTGATTCAGTCGTCTGGTGATAGTGTTGAGAATTTATGTGTTTCTGTGTGTATATGTGAGTGAGTGAGTTGGAGATGCTGTCGACTATGACGAGGTTTTGCCTTACGGAGCGAGTCGTGGTCGATGCGATCCAACAGAGTGCTGTAGTGATGCTAGTGTTATCACTCAATGTTTTGTAGTGTATAGCATGAGGTCTTATTGAATTTACAATTGTGATGTGTGTTGTTGATAGTTGGCTTATTACGTGTATGTGTGTATGTGTTTGATGGTTGATTGGTGAAGGCGGTGGTGCGGAGTTCTGGAGTGTTTTTTGTTGACTGAGTGACGATTGTGGTGGATGCAGTGTGACTGATGTGTATATTAAGTATTGTAGGATCGCAGATAGATGACTGTAGTTCGTTGCAGTGATCCTTAGGCTGGTTTTGGACAAGCTAGCAACTATGGGGTAACGCTTAAGCCTGTCATGTTTATATGTGAAAGTCCTCAACTGTTCTCATCTTTCGTGGGAGTAAAATCTTCACTATCAGACTTCATTGAGAAAAGGTTAAGTATTCTTGAGTTTCCCATCATCAGAAATCAAATAGGCAGACAGATTACTCAGTATTATTGCTTGTATTGTCGTTGATTCTACAACTGAATTCATCGGTCCCTATTAGCATATACGCTCCTGTGCGGATACCTCAATATTACGTGTATTCTAATTATAGTAGTGATAGATAGTTTTAGTAGTGGGATGCAGGATGCTTACTTTGGGACTCGTCAGCTGGATGTGCCTGCCTCTGAGTGGGCGATGTTGTTCCCACCAGGATTCCAACTCGCGACCGACAGCTTCAAACGCCACACCATTACCTACTAGACCACCGAGCCACTATAGCTGTCGTGCATCAAACTACTGTTGTGGCCCGGTAATGTAGTGGATGGTGCTATGGCGTCCGGCGCGATCGGTCCCGAGTTCGAGTCCCTGAGGGGGCAACGTCGCACATTAAGGTTCAGGTACATCCTAGTGACGAGTGGTAAATACATCGAGAAACGCATCCTGGATTTCACTGCTAGTCACCATCCATCGGGTAAATTCACATGCTTGAAATAAACTGTAGGGATTTTTTTTCTAACAGTAATTAACCCTGAAATGACAATGATGAAACTGGCTTCCATCTGATCATAAATCACAAAGTTTAAAGGGTTGCCACATTTCAAATATGATCTATAGAATTCGGTCTGCACCCAGGACTAGACGACATGAAATTGGTTGCGCTCGCATGACCAATCAATACATGTAAGCCAGTCCTACAGGAGGTCAATCGCGGCCCGAATAGCTCAGTGGTAAAATCGTTGACTACAATACTGGGTGACGCGAGTTGAAATCTCAGGTGGGATATCAGTTCCGTCGAGGTCACACATACGCTTTGCTGATGAGTGTCAAAAAGCATGAAACCTAGGTCCAGGGCTTCCTGCCGACTACCTCCAACCAACTAACATCTACTGATGTGCAGTGTGATGCTGAGCTTCGTAGCTTGGTTGCCACATTGCAAATATGATCGATAGAATTAGGTCTGTACTCCCGTGACCAATTAATACAGTTTAAAGGGAAATTGGATGAAGTTTGGGATTATTATATTCCTTAGAGTGTAAACAGAATCGCGGCTTCTATTATACAAATATATGTCAGCCAATTTAGACTAAACTACTGTATGATACACTGTACTTTATAGCATAATCAATCCATTAGCCAGTACAGTTAGCTCATCTATAGATTAGACTGGTCAATGACCTTATTATATAATAAATGATTTGACAGAAGGTCAAATCACTTGACCATTGAAGTCTATTCTAAGTGGTTGGGCAATTACATAATTTAATAATTCCCATTGTAACAGCAAGAACAAGATATTCAGCTAAGAGACTCTTTTCAACGAATTTATTTTCAAGCTGTACAATCGTATATATATGATATTTGAAAAAATTATATCCCGTGAGAAAAACTAACCACTATATGCTGTTGATGACAATGATAATAGAGCGGATGATGACATAGGCATTTGCTAATGATGAATCGTGGATAGCAGTGGAATCCAGGATGCGCATTTCATCCTATTTGGGACTCGTTAGCTGGATGTACCTGCTTCCCAGTGAGTGATGTTGTTCGCACAAGAAATGGCTATCGTGGCTCCGTGATGTAGTGGATAACGTGCTGGCGTTTGAAGCGATCGCTCCCGAGTCCGAGTCCCGGTGGGAACAACATCACTTACTGGGAGGCAGGTACATCCAGCTGACGAGTCCCAAGTAGGACAAAATGTGCATCCTGGATTCCACTGCTAGCCACGATCCATCATTAACATAATTAGATTGCTGGCAATGTCGAGGCATCCGAACAGGAGCTCACATACCAATACAGACTGATCAATTCGGTCCAATCAACGACGGTATCATATAAAAACCCTTATACTAATAGGCATTTGTGATTTTAATAACAATTGAAGTGCGAATGATAACGAATGAATTATGTAATATATATGGAATGGTACATAGAGAGTATATATATATATATATATATATATATATATATATATATATATATATATATATATATATATAAAGTGGGGGTTGGTGGTTGGAAAATGTTATGACCATGATAAAGACAGTGACTGCACATACTTCTTTTGTACACACAGATCAGGTCTTAGTTCATGAATAGCTGAAGC